CTCCCAAGCCAGGCCGGCTCCACGCGAGCTGTGCAGCTGGCCAGCCTGCCGAGCGGGGCTCTGCCAGAGCAGTCAGGCGTGTCTTCCACGCTATAAATAGGCCAGTGGGTGTTCAGCTGAGGAATCAGGGCTCCAGACTGAAGAGTGGGTGTTTTGTCACCCTTTGCCCCAGAGGCAGGGTCCTTGCTGGTGCTGGCTGTGCCGCTCTGGGAGCTGGGGTGCTTTGCAGAATCCCTGCTTGGATAAGCCTGTGGCCCAGGGAGGATAGTCCCCAGGCTCTGGGTGTTGTGAACGTGGATCCGGCTCTCAGTGTTCCACCACTGAGATGAACCCATGGCACATCCTCAGCGAGGCCCTGCTGCTGTGAGCATGGGGCATCCCCATCAGAAGTGACCCTGGAGCACAGGCACCCTCTCAGCTCACCCTTTGCTTTCATGACTGAAGTGTTTCTCAGCTCGACAATGGGAAAAGGGTATGCAGGCTCTCAAAACCCTTACAAAACAACGGAAATTGGTTTCCCAGTTCCTTGCTTGCCACTGAGCAGTCTGCCCCGTTTCCTTTGGGTTTGGAAAGGAAATAGAGGATGTGGATGGTTGCAACATGCTTGGGCCTGATGGAAGTGAGGGCAGGTATGTCCTCCCAGCGTCCCAGGTGGGAGGGCTTGTTGGAGTACAGGCATGGCATGTTCTTCAGTGTCAACCCGAGGAGTAAACCCCAAATTGGCTGGCACTGGCATCTGATGAGTCAAGGATCTTTTAGCATCCACCTCATTAGGATGAAGCACTTGGGTCTGGACCAAGAGTAAGCGATGGGAGCACAGGTACAAGTGAGTCATTCCCAGCTGGCTGCAGTGAGTTTATTCTTCATTTCCCCGGAGCTCCAGGATAAGGAGGGTTTTGCAACTCCAACTTCATTCCCTCTCCAGCTTCTAGTCCAGGCTTGATTGAAGGGGAAGTGATGAAGGTGGAGCATCAGCCGGGCAAGTGGAGCAGGAGCCGTGTAGGTGTTGGCTCCCTGTCAAAATACCCTCTCTCTTGGTGCCCAGAGCATTCACCTCCTGAGTCAATAAATTCCGGTACCTGCCCCAGCAAAAGTCACGATCTGCTTCCTCCTTGTGCGAATCCCCCCTGTGCCTCAGTGTGTGCATCTCCCCAGTCTCTCCGCAGGCTGAGTCAGGTCAAACAGCGGAGCAGGATGAGGCGAGAAGTATTTTGCTGTGATCCTGTCCAGCAGCGTCTTAATTTCAGAGAGCCCAGGCGCCCAGAAAGTGTGTCATGTTCCAGCATCTGTCGTAGATAATAGAGCTGCAGAGCGCAGTCTGCTAACATATTGGTAGATCAAAGCTTCTTCTCTTTCCTAACCCTTTAACAGGAAGACTAAGACACCAGGTCCAGATGTTTCCAACCAGTGGGGCTTTAAATCTACATCCAAAATGGAATGTTTTCCCAAAATTGGGACATGTGGGTTTGATAACAACATCCAGGATGACAGAAAGAAAACTGAGCCGCGGGCTGGGATTGGGATGGGGGCCGGGGACACTGCGTTGCCCGCTGGGTCTCACGCTGCAGCAAGAGCTACCCCCGGGGCTTACTGAGAAGCAGCAGCAGCCCTTGGAGAAGTGAGCGGTGGGCTGTGGCCTCTGCAGTGACTTGCCTTTAATTCCTTCAGCTGCAGGATGCCCTGAAGTGTCAGCACTGCAAAAAGCAGTTCAAGTCCAAAGCTGGGCTGAATTACCACACCATGGCTGAACACGTCAGCAAGGTAAGGGAGCTGGGCTGCTCTCGTCTCGTGCCTTGCTTCTCGATGCAGATGTGGAAGATGCAGTTTGCAGTCTGCTTCCCTTTATCTTTCTCAAGGAGGGATTCACAGCACCAGCCTTGCAGCATTTCACGTGCTGGTCGGTCCACAGAGTGGCATTTCCCCCTTCCCTGCTGAGCAAAGCCAGGCAGCTAGTTAGGTTCATGTTGATCCTGAGGAGTAGAGGGCTTAAAAAATAAAACGAGATTTGCTGACCCAGGATGGGGAAGATTCAGTGAGTGCTGTGAGATGGATCTTGAGTGGCAAAGCTCTGCCTCCAAAACTGTGCCCGCAAATCTGGGACTGATGGGTTCTGCCTTGCACAAATCTCAAAATCCAATCCTTAGCTCTCAACTGTGCATGTGAGGAGTAGCCACAAAATTTATCCTGAGTACAATCTAGCAGGCACTGATTTAGATGCTGTTCTTTAAAATCTGGTCGTGTACATCCCTGCGATACCAGGGCAAGGCATAACCACATTTCTGCGTGTCCCGTGCTTACCAGTTGTGACTTGTCTTTTACCTGTGCATTCATCTCCTGCTCTTCAGTCTGGCTGGTGAATCCTCCATGCAGGAGCTGCCCCTGGGTTTCTCAGCTGGCACTTTGAGTGCAAACACACAAATGGCACAAGCAGATCTGTCACATCCCAGCGAAGGTGCTGGCGTGTGGTAGAGCAGCAGGAGATCGAGCTCTTCTAACGAGAGGTTCACCCCAGCCAAGGGCAGCTCCTGCGAGGCAGAGGTTTGCCCCCGACTCCCGGCACAGAGGACATGAGTAAATGGTTGACTCTGTCGCTTGTGTTACTTCCTTGTTTCCAGCCTGTTCCTGTGGAAACCACTGGACTTGGTGAACAGGAAGAGCAGGAAAGGCTGAGGAAAGTGCTAAAGCAGATGGGAAAACTGAAATGCCCCAATGAGGTACGAGAACAATTCCTGTTTCTCGTTCTGTGAAGAGATGGAAGGAGTGAGTCCTGAGGCAGAGGGGGACGCGCGCTCTCCAGGCATCCCTCCTCGGCATGTGCTCGACTTTTCCGCCCTAGCTTAGCCATCCCTGGCCCGCTGGCTCCCGGTGGGCGTAGGGCAGGTTGAGAGGATCTGAAGGGCAGGTTCTGCCCCCCAACTTCAGGAAGGGGCACAACTGGCACCGTCCTGGCGTTAGAAACTAAACCAAACCGTGCCAAGAAACGGTCGTGAGCCGGTGGCAGACAAGTCACGAACAGGTCACGGGGGCGTGTGGCAGAGGTTTG